TGCTAAGGAAAATAAATGGTGGTTCTGGATTGGCTGTTTCACAAATGCCAAATACTCTTTCAAATATTCAGATATGCTCTAAAATGTCCGTAAATTAGCTAATTTTCCGCAAATAATTTGGCTCTACATTCCACACAAAAATCTGTAAATAGACGGGGGTCCCATTGTACATTGAAGATTTTGAGTGAAAGATAAAATGTGAACAAGTTCAAGTGGTGCAGATATTTTTGCAGGGTGCATCAGCTAACAAATGAATCCCTTTTGTGCTTACATGAGCTCTGAAAGATACAGGCCCCCAAATCAGTGGAGTTCCTTTCGGGTAACTTGAAAGGCTCATGTCTGCAGCCATTTAATGAAAAAAAAAAAAAAAAAAAAAATTAGGCCAGTGCTCCCTGTTTGCCCATTCTTCATGTGAGGGAAGCTGGCAGAGGTGAGGCAGCGCTCTGCCAGGAAAACATTGCTGTGGAACCACGACACATGGTCTCTGTTTTAAGCGACCTACAGGCCTCCTCTGCTCTAATCAAATTTTGCCAAAAAATCTCATCTCAGCTTTATGCAGTCGATGCACAGGTCTGAAAATTGAAAGCGGGCTTCCGAATTAATTCGATTTCAAATTAGCTTCTGCTGGGACCCCAAATCTGATCACAAATTCTTAATTTTTTTTGCTTGTTCCCCCCACCTCTCTCTCTCTCTCTCTCTCTTTTTGCTGCCTTCGGTATGAATAAGACCTCAGCGGCTCCGACACTGAACATGGTAATTAGCCCTCTTCAGGAGTAATGAAAGAAGAGGAGGAGCCCTCCCTTTTTTTAGGGTCAAACCAGAGTCACCATTCAGCACGTACACCGTCATTTATCACCAGGAGAGGCTGCCCTCCATGAAGAGCCAGTGAAAGGCTGATGGGGCTTCCCCACTGGGTTCCTCTGGACCTCCTTCGCTGCTCGGATACTGGAAATCCTGGTCGCGGATGAAAGGGGGGCACAGAAAGAGTTTAACCTACATCGTCGGCTCTGCATTTTTTATTCAACCCGTCCCCAGAAAAGGCGGAATTTAAATCCGTAAATCTGTGGTTTCCAGAGAACGGGACAGGCATGGGAAACAAAAAAAAAAAAAAGAGGGCCCCATTCCAATGAAATGGGAGAATAAAACAAATCCGAAGGGAGAGGATCTAATCACAAAACGCAAATTTACTTTCCCCGTAAATTTGCGTCACCTCAGTGGAATTTGTTGGTTGTTTCTATAGTTTTGAAAACAGTTCCCCGATCCGTCGGGTTGGACGCCGCGTCAGGGAGCAGGGCCGCTGCTTGTTAGCTGTCAAAGATGGAGACGGCCGGATAAAAGCATGCGATACGTCAGTCCACACCCAGGATCTGTTTGGTGAATTGTATTTACACAGATCATTAAGGAGCTGCAGACTAGAATCAGTGAAAGCACAAAAAAGGGTCTTTATGAGGAACCTCATCACCAGGGAGGGAAAGAAAACAGAGGATGAACTTAACTTGTCAGGAAATTTCATCTTTACCTTTCATTCCTTAGTGTAAATCTTAGAAAATGTTTGGATCTTAGAAAATGTTCCTTTTTTTTCTAACAATAATCATTAATTGTTTTCATTCCACTTTACAATTATGTTCAACTTTATACAGGACATAAAATCCCAAATAAGCACATTAAAGTACGAGTTGTAAAATGACAATATGTAAAAAAAAATACCTATTACAAGAGGAATTCATATATTATATCTGGAAACCTCATTTGGACACATGTGTTTTAATCACACCCAATACTTAACTCCCATCTATTACCAGTCAATATTTTAAGAAGAGATTTACCATGATATTAATATAATTTATTTTTTAAATACTATTACAATTTGCCTTACCAGCTAATTTTTCTCTACAGTCTTTTCCGTGTTTCACTTCCTTGATGAAACTGAGACACTTTGGACGTTTCGTAGTCTTGTTCTCTCTCGACACATTGCAGCTCTGAGCTCATGTTTGTCCCACGGTTTGTGGGAAAGATGTAGCAGGTGTGTGACTCCCCTGTGTGTCGCAGCGAGGTTTGTGGGTCTGCCGAGGGATGTCGTCATTCACGCAAGCTAACGAGTCCCTCTGGCTCAGACTGTGACCAGCAGAGCTGCAGACTCATAACATTACCGTGACAAAGCTCTGTGCTTGGATGCAGCATGATGGAGACGGTGCAGATAAAGAGGCAACCACTGTATTTCACACTTTGAAATACCAAAGCTCTCATTTTTGTTTTGAAGCAACGTCTTTGCACTTTACATCCATTCCTGTGGAAGCGGAAATGTCTGCACATGTAGCAGATAAAAATGTTTGACTAAGAAGATGCAATGTTGAAAAGGATCTTTGGGACTGAGGTCACAGGGATTTAAACGAATGCAGTATTCTGTTAGACCTTTCCTTGCAATTGAAAAACTTAAACGCTGCAGCTTCACTATAGATACATTTAACTTGTAACAGAATTTTTCCGTCAGTAATAAAAAATATTAAATTGTCCCGTTAAGAATTTACCAAGGTAAGCAGCAAAACCTTTCACAGAAAATGTCTCCATCTTGATTCTCACAGGATTCAACACAGTGCATACTGACCGGGGTCGGAGGTCAGGAGTGGGACACAACATCAAACCACGTGAACGCAACAGTGGTCATAAAACTTAAGTGATCTGAAATCATCAAAGACAAGACGCACAATCACTGCACCACTCCAATCTACAAAATAAGCATTATGCTTATTTTGTAGATTGGAGTGGTGCAGTGATTGTGCGTCTTGCTGCACTACCAAAAGGTGTCCACAAGGGGACTTTTTATTTTGTTTCTCTAACTGCAGTGTGTCCTCTAACACACCACCTTTGTGAGAATGCTGGGAAAAAGCTAAAAGCTTTTTAGTTTTTTCCTGACATTCACATAAAAATGACATTTTGGAGGACCCAAAATTGTTTTTGTAGGGAAAAAAAAACAAGTTACAGCTTCTCCCTCCTGTAGTTGTGTGAACAGTGAAAAAGCATCTTTTATGAAAATCCTGACGTATTTTCGCGAACTCGAACCTGACTTATAACCTCAAACGGGTCAACTACAACAATGGTGGACGACGCTTGTGATTGTGCTGCAGAAACTGTTCTGCAAAGTTTTACGAAAGACTCCAGTTGCTCTTTGTCGTGGGCTATTCTTGTTTCCTTTTTGTGTTTACCGCTAACCCGGTATCCTTTTCCTTCCACTTTACAATTATATTACGTCCCAATAAAGACATTTTTGAGGTATGTATAAAAAAAAAGGGTAGGAATATTTTTTGCAAAACACAGAATAATTTCTATTCTTAATCAGTTTGGAGGTGACAATTCAATACACCCCACAGTATGGTGCTGCCAGCACCATGTTTCATGTTGTAGATGGTGTGTTCAGAGTTATGTGATGTACTTTGGTAGAAATATCTGCAGTACAACCAATAGATTATGACAATAATGGATTTTTTTGCAACCCTGTCAGTGATAGGACCAATGTTTTTGACTCAACAGTATTAACTCAGTTTCTGGTAACTACGGTAACACTGCTTGCTACAGCATCAAATATAATGTTGCCATTGTCACCATGGCTGCTCGCTCAGAACGCCACTGAGGTGTTTACCGAGGCCAACAGCATAATGGCCGCTCCCAGCTGTGACGAGTCTCTACAAAACAGCGGTTATAAATAATTGCGTTTGCGACCAATAAATACCTACGTAGTCAGATCTGAGGAGTTTCACTGAAAAGATCCGGCTTTTTTTTTTGTTTTGTTTTTTTTCTTCCTGCCCTCTAGCCTCTTTCTCTCATCTGTGTCTGATGTCTTTTCAGTGTGCTCGATCATGTGTGCAGAGGCCCTCCAGTGCCAGGCTCTTCTCCAGCCTGGCTGTCCAGGCCAGGCACAATGGAGCCCGATTCCTCCGTCCCCTTCCCCCCCCCCCACCCTTCCACCCCATGGGGTAAAGAAGTCTCCCTGCAGGAACGGAGAAGGAACGCCATAGAACACTCATGAGTGTAAACTTTCACATTCTCTTCGCCGTTGTTTCAGCAGACAGTTGAAAATGAAAAATGTTATCGCCGAAGCCAACTCTGCTGTAGGTCAGTGGCTTTGCTTCCCAGAAATGTTTTACTCTCGCTGGAGCTGCGTCTCCATTCCAAACGAATCCCATAAAATGGCAGTAAAATGAACAAAATCTTACATAAAGTAAGGTATGAAAAAAAAAAAAAAACCCACAAATATTGAAGGACTGGACACAATAGCTGGCTTTTGACAACTAGATGTGTGGTGAAAGAGAGGTCAACCATCACTACCGTAGACACAACTGACCCTTGAGTCCAGAGTGGGCAGCATCTTCTCCATACTGTTGAGCCACTGCCTTACTGCTCTGATCTGACCCCTGAACTCACACTGCCATTGGCTCAAATCCTCAGCTTCCGTCCTGGAACAGAGGAGAGAAGACGCAGAGTAAACAAAGAAATTAAACATTTTTGGTCAAAATAATATCCCTTATTACCAAATCAGCTAAAAGATCTCATTTGGTAGGAATTTGTTCTTTCTGGCTAAGAAGCGCTTTTCACAAGTGTCCGATGAACCAAAATGTTTCATTTGACGAATCCGTTTTGAAGTCGAGAGATGTTTGAACTGTTTCAAGTTGAGAAGATGACATAATGAATGTTTTAGAGGAGCATACCATGTTTTCTGATCCTGGGACGTTGGTGATCCAGTCAAAGCAATCCCCTCGTCCTGAAACAAACAATGTGGAAAGTACAGTGCACTGGAAAGGTCACACGATGACCACAAACTGTTCTTATCGGGATTTTATGTGCTAGACTGACACAAAGTAGTGAATAATAGTGACTTGGGAGAAAACTGATGCAATTTTTCTTTCTTTTTCTTTTATGCATTGGAAATTTGGACCTGCATTTGTATTCACTCACACCCCACCAACACCAGCCAGTACTTTGTAGTACCACTTTTTTGTTGCATCTTTTTTGGAGTCTTTGGAGTACGCCTCTTGTAAATCGACACTGATTTTTATTTTTTATTTTTTTACCTGTTCCTCCTTGTGAGATAGCTAGAGGATAGAGAGCATCTGTAGACACCATTTTATAAGTTTTCCAAAAGGCTTGCAATTGAATTTAGGCCTGAGCTTTTTAACATATTAATGTTCATACATATAAACCATTCCACTGGAGCTCTTGCTGCATAGTTAGGGTTGTTCTCCTGCTGGAAGGTCCAGTGTTGAGTCTTTTGCAGGATATGACAGGATTTGTTTTCTCCACAGCATACACCACTTGTGACAATGGTCTGTTCCGGGTAAAGTGCAGTCATGTAGCACTTTCCATCGACTTCAAAACTGCATACATTTTGTTCACTTTTTTTTTTTTTTTTTAAGAGTTGATAGAAATACACTCCACAATTCAGATTTTTATTTGAAATCTAAAGTAAGCATGTATTTCCTGTAAGGTATATACCTCACCTGTTGTCCAAAGACTGCTGGTGATAAGCATAAACCCTCTGCAACCATCCAAGACTGAGCAGGTATAGACTACGACTGTATTGATGGATAGATGCACTTGCCTTAATCTCAAAATGCCTTAATTCGTTTTTTTTTTCTATCGCATAAAGTCTCAATAAAACAGCCCGACAGCTTTTGGTTGAAATGATGCTGTATATCTTAAACACTGGTGGTAATTGAGGTCTGTTTGTATCGGCACAACTGTTCGACACTGTGTTGAACTTTGTTTCATGCTTTAAGTTTTGGGGCGGGATCATGATTCTCTTTGCTCTTACCTCCCTGGCAGCTCCTGGGAGGGAAGCAGCTGCATCGGAGTAGTCAAGGGAGCTGAGGGAAGAATTCAGTGAGGCAAATTCCCCGTTGCTTCTGGCGACAGGATCCTCCATCAAACCAGGGGGCTAATGTTGGCAAAGAGACCAGAAAATGTTTCCGCCCAAGACGCTGGTTTATGCGTTTCTAAATATTTCTTAGCTAATTATAAAACTGTCAAAATTACACTGTTTTAAAGCAAATTATATTTTATTTTATAATAGAAATGCAGGTACACTTTTTGTTGGCTCATGTTTATATTAACAGTAGAGAAGGGATCATAGTAAACAGCTGTTACTTCTTTTAAGACGAGTCAGCCTCATACTGCCCTCTTGTGGTCATTCGCTGATTTTCCAGTTCAACCGGTTTAAATCACTGGCAAGCCATTGAGCTAAGATGCAGAGACTTGACCAATTACTGAATGGAATGTGAACCTCTAAATTACTACATTAGAAAGATTTTATTAAATTAATCATTAAAACTGGAGTTTATATATGTTTAGGATTTGAACATGTGTCAACTGTTGCAGTCAGATTTCATGTGTAAATTTTTCATGTTCATTCTGATGCATGAATGACAAGAGGTCCTGTTCGCATATTTATTTACAGCATGTTATCTTCAAATACAACAAAAATTCTCGTTTTCGTTAAAGCAACATTTGCCCCCCCCCGCCCCCCCAAAAAGCAGAATCAGCTTGTGATGCTAAAGTTTAGTGAATTTAAAAAAGAAGATTACATTTGACAAAATGTTTCCTCTTAATCTCAGCAAAGTTAATAAAACATGCAAGGCACATTTATAACAACAAAAACATGTTTAAAACAATGTAAAATGATGCAAAACAGAAATGCATGGTATGGAAAAAACAAAACAAAAACAAGAAGCAGAATAAAACTTGTCTTTTCAAGGTCGCTGTTTTAAAAACATCAGATAACAGGAGTGAATCTGAAAGAATGTATACATTCATGCTAATGAAATTATTGACACTTTGGTTTAACTGGATTTATAATAAATCAATTAAGATAAGTATAACCAAAGCCAAAAATGTGCTTTTATTTCGTTGAAGTGTCACAATTTCAAGTAAAGTCTGTTGGTGCAGATTGTGTTTATGGGAGAGGGTATTTATTTCAACATATTCTAGAAAAGAAAAATCACTATTATCCTTCAAGTAAGAATAACATGCCAAAGGCACACAACTAGAGAATGTTCGTAGAAAAATGGCATCCCAAGATGAAGTTCACTCAGTCTCAGTTTTCCTCAAATGTGACACGTGATGGTGGAAGGAAGTGGATCTAGGAACAAATAAAATGATCATGAAACACAAGCAAAATAAGCCAAACCATGCAGCAAATAAAAGGGAAGAAAAACAGAAAACACTTTTGGATTTTTGTTTTCCAAGCATGAATGCTAATAATGTCTTGTGAAACTGCTGAGCGTTTTACCTGTTTTTCTGTGCGAGGGTGACACTGACACACATTTCCATCAATAACACGCGAAGTGTGCACTCTGGTCAACTGAGTATCCATGCTAACGTTTTGGAATCTGATTGACTGATCCATCTATCGAAAAAGAAGAGGTCGAAGAACAAAAAGCTCTATTAGAAGTCTGAAAAGTTGAGTAGACACAATTTACAGCAGTAGCCCATGAGATGGGAAGACACACGAGCGAAAAAGGCTTTGAGATATGTTAGAAATCAATGAAGGGAAACAAAGTAATGAAAATAAAGAATGAACAAAAAATAAAAAATAAAAAATTCAACTTACAAAAGTCAAAAATCAGGCAGCTCTGTGAAGGGGTGCAGGATTGAGTGTGTCATCATCTTGGGATTTAGCTGGAACACTTGACTGATGTTCAATTTGAGATACCCACAATTTAGAGTTTGCACAACAACAAAGAAATGTACTCGTCCACTGATTACAAAATGCCAAAGGTAATGACAACGTGGAACTCGTTTCACAATGAATGATTACAACGGTCGTTTTCAGTGATGTATTCCAATAGTGTTTCATTTCGTAGTGTTTTAACTGGTATAATTGGTGTCATTTACTGGGTACAGTGTACGCATAGAGAGAGAAAAAGAACATCAATACATACTCTATACAAACATTTCAAAGTTTCAAAGGCATCCATACATTTTTAGATAAAAACCATTAAAACTGTGTTGACATTCAATTTGTCATTACTACCAGTCATAAAGTTATAAAACAGAAAAATAATCCACTAAATGACTAACAGCTTTAAAAAGGAAAAACAAAATAATAGTGGAAAAATTGTTTTGTTTGGTATGCATACACTATATATTAGTCTTAGAAAGCACTAGTGTACATCTATTGAACACTTGTAAAAAAAAAAAAAAAAAGAAAGCATAGTCACTTAAAAACAGCAGAAATATCATGCTTTGTTTTGAATTCTGTCTTAGAAAATTTTGACTTGTTAATCTGTATTAAATGATTTTGATTTTCTGGATTTTTGGTGACGCATAATTACACCCTCATAAGAGAGGCACCTGTTGATACTGTTACTGTTCAAAAGAAAAATATATATAGGAAGAAATCCATAGCTTAGGCAATGTTAATTTGACCACATGCAATTATGAATAAATAAATTATACTTTTTTTTACTACTGTAACTATTTTTTCCTGTTAGAAATGCATCTATAAAGTGCATTAGTACTATTGGTTCTTAATCAAAATGTGTCAGGAACAGCAGGAGCTAATCAATATCTGCGACTGTAGCTGGATGTAGACGTGAAGGAGGAGGATGAGAAGTTCATGCTATTGAACCCTGAGCCAGCGTCAAAGCTGCCTCTCCTGGACCCAGATCGGGATCCGGTTCTTGAGCCGGTCCGAGAGCCATATGCAGATCCAGAGCCACTGGCATTGTAGGGACTGTAGAGGCCTTTGCTAGATTGTGAGGAGGCCTCCAAAAGCCTTAAGCCGCTTCCCTCCTCAACCATGCTTCTTTCCATGGCATCTTTGAAAGAGATTTTCAACTTGGTTTTTGGGCACGTTAGATATTTTGAATAGGCACTGACATCCCTCAGTTTTTGGGCAGTACGAGCATCGATTGTTCCTTTTCTGATGGACTCATCCAGAGACACTCTGCCTGTGACATCGGGCTCAATAAGTCCACCTGTCAAATATTGAACCTCAAGGAAACGCTGACCAGCCTCATAATATAACCAGCCTTTCTTCAGAGCTTGGGAGGCTGACATCTTCACCTTAGTTCTGGGGTCTTCAAATCCATTAAAAGCTTTCTGTGCCAGGTTGAGACGATCAACCATAACCTTATCAACCAAGCCTTTGTCTGTAGCTTCGGTAACTGACAACTTTTCCCCACTTGCAGGGTCAATAATTCCTCCTGTGCAGGCTTGGGCCTCCAGTAGCCTTTGGCCTGTTATGTTGTCCACCAGGTTTCTATGGATTGCCTCAGTGATAGACACTTTCTCCAATGTGTCTATGTCCAATATTCCTGCTACGGGTCCTGTCTCTTCTGATGGGTCATTCCATATCACGGCAGGTGGTTTAGTGGATGGTATGGGGCTCATGGAAGTGGAGTAACTGGAACCAGTGGTGGAGCCAAATGAGGATGAGCGTGAACGGGAGCCTCCCATGCCTCCAGAAAGCATGTCAGCAAACTCTGTAATGGACAGGTTCCCAGCTCTGTATTTATCAAGAGAATTCTGATCAATGTATCCACGTGAAATAGCGTCATCAATGTCATACTGCCTGCCTGACCTTCTATCAATGATTATGGATTTGACAGAGCCATCAGAGGAGGTCATTGTGATTTCCTCCCATTCACACTCCTGTTCCGAAAGCTCCAGGTACGTCTGGTGGTCAATGAGTCCTTTGCGGTAGGCCTCATATACAGACATTTCTTTGCCTGTGTCTGGGTCTACAATGACAATTCTGCGTTTACGGACAGATGTTTTAGAGGAGGTTTTTCTTTCTCGCTTCTTTTCTTTCAGTAGCAGAAGCACCAGGCCAGTATCAGGATCAGTAATACACCTCTCCATAAGTTGGAGGTAGGTTAGATTTTCTTCAGTATTGGGATCAAAGAAGCCTTTGGTGTCATCAGATGGGTCAGTCAGAATCTCATTCATTTCTTCGTCAAAGAAACCACGCTTGTAGGCTATCTCAACTGGTAAGCGATGACTTTCTTCTGGGTCAATAATTCCACCAGTGGCAATTTGAGCTTCTAGGAGACGGATGCCATGATCTTTCAAGATGAGTCCCTTTTTCATGGCCTGGAACAAAGAGATTGTCTTGCCTGAATAAGGATCTCTGTACCCTGTTACTGCACGCTCAGCAGAGAGAAGTTTGTCTTTGAATTCTGGACCTACAATTCCCATCTTTACAGACTCATTTACTGTAAGTTTAAGGTTCTTGATTGGATCAATGACATATCCTGTGGCTGCCTGAGCCTCAAGAAGTTCAAATGCAGTGCCTGGTCTTATCATGTTTTTCTTCATGGCCTGGTAAATTGATAGGCGTTCTTTGCTCGACTCCAAAAACACTCCAGCAATACAACCTGTGCCCTCAAGGTATCTTGAGAGTCTATTGCTAACTTCCTCCACTGAAAGAATGCCTTCATTCAATTCAGTGACAGTCTGCTGATCAATAATTTGTGAGCGAATCAGCTCCTCCATTGTGATCTGTTTTCTCAAACCCTTGAATGTTAACCTCTTATCTCCCAGGGAGAGTAGTCGCAATCCACCCTCAAGCTTGCATCTCTTGAGAAGCTCTGCATATGACAGTTGTTCTTCAGTAACAGGATCAATGAACCCCTTGACACTGTCTGTGAGTTTCTCATTGGTCTCCTTGTTGATATAACCTCTTTGCAAGGCAATGTCATCTGGAAGATGGAACTGGAATTCTGGATCAATGATACCTCCAGTAGCAATTTGAGCCTCTAGCATTTTAAGGGCATAATCCTCTGGAACAAGATCCTTTTTCATGGCCTGGAAAAGAGATATGACCTTCCCACTGTATGGATCCTTATATCCAGTGACAGCTCTTTCAGCTGAAAGTAGTTTGTCATGGATCTCTGGTCCAACAACTCCCTTACGAACAGCTTCATCGACAGTGAGTGTCTCGTTCTTTATTGGATCAATAATAAAGCCTGTTGCAGCTTGTGCCTCTAAGAGAGTAAGGCCTATTTCTGGTTTAATAAAACCTCTTTTCATTGCTTGATATATGCTCATCTTGGAGCTCAAGTCTGTTGTGACACCAGCGACACAGCCTGTGCCATAGAGATACTGTTTAACGCTGGTCATCTCCATTATATCACAAATGTCTCTCTTGCCCTGTTTCAGAAGGTTGTATGTCTCAAGATCAATGATGCGGGCATTGTAGAGCTCCTCAATAGTTATCCTTCTTCTTATAGTCTTATATGACAATGGACTGTCATGTATGATAACTTCTCTCTGCTCCATTATCTCAATTATAATGATGATCATCCGTTCTTTAGTGATTTTACCAGAACGGTATTCTTCCAAGAGTTTCTGCCTCTCATGCTCTGGAAGCAAATTTGAGTTCATGACATCCCACAGGTTCATTGGTTTATCGGCAAGCCCCTCAATTGGAATGTCAATTTGGGTGTTGGTAAGATCACTCTGGGTTTGTTCTTCTGTATAAACATATGTTTTTTCCACGACAGTTGGAGACTGAGGTTTGGAGAGTGGCAGGATATACAGGCCTGTGTCTTTATCTTTTTGGCATTTGTCTTTAAGTTGCTTGTAGCTTGCATTTTCATCAGTTTCTGGATCTGAGAAAGGCTTGTTGTCGTCTGAAGATTCAGACAAGGTCTTGGCAACTTGCTTACTGAAAATGTTCGTCTGGTATGCCACATCAGTTGGGACCCGGTGGCTCTTTACAGGATCAATGATTCCACCACTGAACATCTGAGCTTGCAACAGGGGGATGGCATGTTCTTTGAGTATAAGATCCTTTTGCATTGCTTCATAAAGGGAGATTTTCTTCCCAGTGAATGGATCCTTGTAGCCAGTGACTGCTTTTTCTGCAGAGAGGAGTTTTTCATGGAGTTCTGGACCAACGAGTCCTGCCTTCACTGCCTCATCTACTGAGAGACATTGGTTTTTTACTGGATCTACAATGAACCCAGACGCAGCCTGAGCCTCAAGAAGCAAAAGGCCAGTGTTGTGCCTAAGGAGTTTTTTCTTCATAGCCTGATAGATACTCATTTTCTCCTTGGTAGGCCCCAGGTATATTCCAGCAATGCTCTCAGTGCCCTGGAGGTATTTACTGACATTTGGATTCTCGCTGACTTTTTTAGGTGTGGTTTTGCCTTGCTGAAGGTGGTCAAAGGTTGTTTTGTCAATTATTTTGGAGTCATACAAGGAGTCTGCTGGAACATGATCTCTGAGTCCCTTAAAGCTGGACTGTTCCTTTTTCTTAGCCTCCTTCTCTTCCACAATTGTGATAATGATCTTGATAAGCTTTTCAATTGTAACTTTTCCTGATCTAAATTGTCTAATCAGTTCGAGTCTCTGTTCTTCAGTGAGATAGTCAGAGTGGATAATTTCCCATAGTGTCATCTTTCTGCCCTTGAATGGCCCACAGTCAAGCTCCACAGTTGCTTGTGTCATAGCGTCTTTTGTTTGGGCTTCGGTGTATGTTGCTTCTTCTTTATCGTTAATTGCTTCATCACTAAGTGGAAGAAGCTTAAGACCAGTTTTTTTGTCTGTAACACACCTGTCAAACAGCTGGGAGTATGTGACATTTTCTTTTGTGTTTGGATCAAAGAAACATTTAGTTTCATCACTTGGACTGCTTAGACGCTGTTTCATTTCATTATCTAAATAATTTCTCTTGCAAGCAACATCATCAGGTATACGATGGCTCTTCACTGGATCAATGATGCCACCACTGGTCATTTGGGCATCAAGCAGTCTGACACCTTGTTCTTTAGGAA